GTGGCAGAGACTACCACCCCATCACTATTTTGATCAAAGTGGACAGAAGACCATGTATATGACAGTCCCTACTCTGTCTGCTGACTCAGTGGACATGAAGCAGACGTTGACTGGTATAAAGTTAATCAGGTTCCCACAGATGAAATCTGTGACTCAAGTGTCCATCAGACTTGACTTAGTGAATTAGCTGTTGTTTTATGCAGCCTGCAAGGAGCCCTCTCTTGCTCCTTTCTTGCTAGGACCCTAAAAGAGTGCATATTGCCAGTGGCTGTTGAATTTTGTTTTGTTCCAAGACAGGGTCCCAGGCTGGCCTTCTACTTCCTCTGTAGCTGCTGATGACCTTTACCTCTCTCTGGTCATGCTTTCTCCACCTCCTGAGAACATAGGTTCCTGTTACCACACCTGTTCATGTCGTGCTAGAGATTGAACCTAGGACTTCCCTGCATGTTAGGTCAGCACTCAGTCACCTCAGTCTCCATCCTCAACCCATAAGGTGGAATTTTTAACAGAATAGCTGGAGCTCTGTTCTCTCTCTAAATAGGCTCCAACATAGAGGCCAGGGAGGCTGGTCATCTGGAACTCTGGAATAGACTCCATTTTTATAGTACAGTTACAGTAAGTTTGTTCAGCATGATCTACAGCAACGCTGTCCAGCATGAGTTGAATCAACTTCATGTTGTATTTCATGTCAGCACTTAATCATTACTGATGGGAACCATTAGCTTTCTCAAGCCCAACCAAAAAAATCTCTCGTACAGATTGGTTTTTGCTGTAGTCCAAGGCATCTACCATCACTTTTAATTAAAATAATTTGCTATTATTTTCTTCTTTAAAAACATTTTTTAAGTAGTTGGAAATCAAACGGAGGAAGCTTTGCATAGGGTCTCTGCTTAGGAAATACTTTGTGAATAAGGAATTTTTTTCTTGAGATATTTAAGCTGTTAAGAAAATACAATAAATTTTTTAAGCTCAGTCCCCAGGATCTGCAGGTGTCTTCTGATCATGGTGTTCACACATTCCCATGTGGGTCTGTACACATATATACGCACAAGCACCATTTAAACACCATGGCTTCTAAGCTGTCTAATATACTAGGATCCATGGAATTTCTGGAAACTTCCTGATTTTCCTGAGTTGATGACTAATGTTTGGATTGCTAGTGTCCTTCCCTGAGTTCCTGCAGATGTATGCTAACTGTAATTCTTCTCTCAGATGCATCTACACCTCAGAGAACCTTTCAGTCCCAGGGTCTTGGTGATGCCACTTGGGGATCCCTTGGTTATTCTGCCCCTCTCAGAACTCAGGCTCCCAGGCAACTATTCTGATGCTGTTTCCCCACTGCCATGACACCAGGATCACCACCACCCCTTTCCATCTAACTTTCCATGCTGTGGCTGCTCTACAATGGGGGTAAAGCTATAGCCAACATGAGGTAACAAAATGGATTGATACAGCCTGCCTGGAGCCCGGCATCTCCTGTGGGTGGAAAGGTGACAAGGGCCAAACCTCAGTTTTTCTGTTTTGTTTTGTTTTCCTGGGTAAGTGTCCCCAGAACTACTGCCCAGCCCCCAATTGAGTGCACTGTTCTGTGTGACATGTGAGCAGCAGCAGCAGGTTCCTTCCAAGCTTTGGTGCCCTTAGAAAAGCCATGACTTTACTCTCTTCTCGATTCAGGAAAAGAGCTAAGCAAGCCTTTGACCTGTTCTCTACCTTCAGCTCCCTTGTCCCCATATTCCCCACCTTTTTGGACTCTGCAAAATGATTTAAATATTCTTGTCACCTTCTTTCTCCAAATACTTAAGAGTTTCTGGCTGGGTGGTGGTGGCACATGCCTTTAATCCCAGCACTTGGGAGGCAGAGCCAGGCAGATCTCTGTGAGTTCGAGGCCAGCCTGGTCTACAGAGCAAGATCCAGGACAGGCTCCAAAACTACACAGAGTAACCCTGTCTCGGAGGGAAAAAAAAAAAAGAGTTTCTTCCCTCCTCTGTAGCTGAAGTTTTCTTTCAGGACAAATCTCTAACCTGCCAGTCCTGTAGCCACTCAGACCCAACTGCGTAAACAGAGACTTATATTGCTTACAAACTGTATGGCCGTGGCAGGCTTCTTGTTATCTAGTTTTTCTATCTTAAATTAACCCATTTCTATAAATCTATACCTTGCCACATGGCTCGTGGCTTACCAGTATCTTACATGTTGGTACTCATGGCAGCGTCTGGCAGTGTCTCCTGACTCAGCCTTCCTGTTCCCAGAATTCTCTTCTCTGCTTGTCCTGCCTATACTTCCTGCCTGGCTACTGGCCAGTCAGCATTTTATTTATACAGAGCAATATCCACGGCACTCGTCAGTCTTCCGACTGCTCTGCGTTTCCCAGAGTTCAGTTGCACTGTCTCCTCTGTGCACTTTCTCCCTCCTCCAGTCCCTGGTGGAACTAAATGCATGCTTACTTTGCTGTACCAGTCATAGTTCAGCTGCATTTTCTTCACGACATATAGCAGTCATCTTCACTTGCATTTAATAACAACACCACTCTCCTGCTTCCCCACCTGCAGCCAAACTGCCTCACACTGCTCACAAGAATTACTAAAATATGTGTAACAAGAAGAGACTTGGAGAGCATGGAGGGATGGCTCAGTGGCTAAGAGCACTGTCTGCTCTTCCAGAGGACTGGGGTTCGATTCCCAGCACCCACATGACAGCTCACAACCAGTAGGTAGGTAGGTAGGTAGGTAGGTAGATGATAAATAAATCTTTAAAAAGAAGAAAAGACTTGGTACCCAGAGTAGTATAGAGTGAACTACATAGCCCTCCATGGTGAAACATCATCTAGGTATATTTAAGTATAAAGCAAGAAAGTGGTTCCTCCATTAAGTTCATCATCAAAGTTTGTACTTTATGAGTGATGATCAGATGTCAACACTGTCATTTCTGTTATCTAATGTGCTAGTGTTGATTGCAGGATGTTGAGCTTTCATTGAGGTGGATCCTAGAGATAACTTCCCTACCAAGATTTGTATACACATAAGATTTGATCCCTTGCACACAACCCCACTCCTTGTTGTATTTAGTTTTTCAGTTATTTTTGTCTTACTCGGTGTTTTCTGGGAAATATATGGAGTTGGGTAAGATGATTTCTCAAGCCTACCTGGAGTCCTAAAAAACAGATTTTACCTATTTTGAATATTATACTAAGCCAAAGAAAGCAGTTTGCCTATAGAAAGAGATGAAGCACAATTTTTTTCCCGTATTTCTGACTCTGTGATTTTAGTGAAATCAGATCAGTGTTTTCTGCTACCTCCATGCAATATTTATTCTTAAAGAAATTAAACTTATCTATTTGCTTAGCAAAATCATACTGTAACTGCCTTACAATTTTGTTTTCTTAACATTTAGGAAGGAATAAAGTCAGAGAACATGAATTTTCTCCACCAAGTTGTTTAGGTTCAGTTGACATTTTAATGTGGGTTGAATTTGAACTTGAGTGCCACACACATTTCTACAGCTGACTCCTGGCCTCTCACTGGTGAACCACATTTCCCACCACAGGATTCTACCATTGCCACATGTTGACATGAACCTGATGTTGAAACTGCTTTTTATCTCCTGGGCTGATTGTATGAGGTCATGGAGCCCCACAGTATTGATAGTGTATCTCTGAGGGATAGATAGCCCAGGACGGCTGATAGCAGTAAGGGGAACACTGTGTAATGGGAATGTTTTTAACCCACAGTTACTGAACTTACTAAGATCTTTTTCTTCTCTTCTCCTCCTTCCCCTCCCCTTATCTTCCTTCCCTCCAGTGTCACTTGGGCAATAAAAGTTAAGAGAAAACAAAAAAGGAATTAAATGACAAAATGTCTGTGACCACAGGGACCTAATTGAAAGTGTGGTATTTTCCTGGAGCAGGGTTCCTGTGAACACGACTTGCTGTTCCCCATCCTTCATGGAGATGTGCTTTCCCATGTCCCCTCCACTCTATCGTCTTGTGTTCACTGCCTCATAGCTGTCTTGTAGGCATGCTTCTGACTCTCAGGTCCTATGGTTTTTGGGTTTTGCCATGTGCTAGGCCTTCCCCCACAATCCTCCCCACCACCTTTCCAAAGCACCACCTCGCCCAGCCCCACTCCACACATGCTCCTCACCCCCACCCCCCTCAGCTTCTGCAGCTCGAAATCAGGTCCTTATGCTTGCCCCGGCGTGACTTCCCCAACTGAGTCGTCTCTCCAACCCTCACTTCATTTTTTTTTAATTCATAAAATCATGGGATGTTTATGGAAGATTCTAAAGGACAATGAATTAAAAAATTTATATTCCTAACACATAGCATTTCTTATAAAAGCAGAAGAGTGTTTAAATATTGGTTTCCCTAGGATACTGTGTCAGTGTTGTCAACTTAACAGGCTATGAAATCACCTAGGAGACCACCTTTCAGGCACTCCTGTGAGGATTGTCCTATTTAGATAAGTCTGTCGGTACCTGTGTGAGATGTTCTTCATTGGGTTCACTGAGGTGACCAAACCCATCCTAACCTCGGGTAGCATTGTGCCCTAGGCTTGAGTCCCATAATGCATAAAAAGGAGAAGCAAGCTAAGAGCAGACATTCAGCGTTCATCTCCTACTGCTCCCTGAGTTTGGATGCAGTGTGGCCACTGCTTCAAGCCACTACCTTGATTTCCCTGCCATGAAGGACCGTGCCTTTGAACTGTGAGCCTTCGTAATTTTTCTGCTTCTTATCTCAGCCGCAGAAGTCACTCAGCTGGCTACCGGCCTCCATTTCCAGCCATGGGAAGCTGTGATTCCTAATAACGTGTTTGTTAATGACCGTAGCATGGAGCTTCCCAAAGCACCCTGGTGTTTGGGTGGCTGGCTTCAGGCCTGCACAGCTCGTCTTTCTAGGCTTTTAGGAGACTTTGTTTTTGTTCTAATCGAAATGACTTTGACCTGCCACCCAGCAGCCTAATCAGCCCATGACTGACGTTCTCTGTGTGTTGTGTCCCTCTTAGGTGCTGTGGTCTTTAGAGTGGGGTCACTGGATTTCTGAGGAGCCTTTTGAACTCTCTGAATCTTTCCCTGCAGCTCCGGTAAGTCGGCACTGTCCAGTGATGGTAAATGCGATGTGGTGATCTTAGGCAAACTGTCCCATGAATTCGATGTCTTAGGTCAAGAGTGGTCTTGCTCAGACTGAAAGGATGCCGCCCTAGAAACGAATGCCTTCTGTTCACTTACTTGTGTAAAGTGCAATGAAAAATGTCACCTTGAGAAGTTTCGCTTGAGCCAGGCAGTCCAGCATTCAGGAAACTCAACTGGGTGGATTGCTGCAGGTTTGATGCTAGCCTGGGCTATAAGGTGAGACCTCTTCTCAAAATAATAATAATAATAATAATAATAATTTAATTATGAAAGCCTGTAGGGCTGTAGAAAACAGAAATTTTGAAAAGAAAGACAACTCTTAAAAACTAATTCTAATACAGATAAAATTGATAGGTATAAAAATCATGGCCTGCCAGCATTGTGATGTGGTCTTTATATTTTGATGCTTATCCTAAATTCCACCTTTATGGACTCTTAGGTATTTTAAATATTTGCTGATTAAATTCTGACTTCCCAGATAATTAAGGTTTGACTGGAAACAGGGTTATACAGACAGAAGTTCCTTCCATTTCCAAACATGTTGTCTGGTTTGGGACTGTTTATTGTTTGAAAAGATGAGTCTCTGACAGGCAGTGGCCGTTCTAGCTGTCCCCAGGTCTCTTACGTAGCTCTCCAAGTGGCCCTGTGCCGGGGACCCAGCAGGAAGCTGAACTCTGCCCCCTAATCGCTCAGTCATCTAGCTCGTTGCATTGTTTTGTTTTCATTTTTAAGATTACTGTTTTGATTTCCTTTCAACTTTGTAAATGTTTTCTTTAGAACAGAAAAAAAAATTCTTCCCAGTAAGTTTGTTTGTTTAAAATACTGTGTAAGGCGCTGAAGTATAAAGTGGAAACCAGAATTCCTCCCATTCTTTGACCTAAGAGAGTGTATGTAATTGAGTAGCACAGGAGGTTTGCCTTTGAAATGCATCTTCCTGCCTTTCTGAGAGACTGATGTAAAAGATGAGTGCTGTTGCTGGTTTTCCCGGGTGATTATTCCCCGCCTCAGTTCCTGTCATTGTGGGCATTCAAGACACTTACTGCTTTTTGAAGCTGTGGGATGTTTTTTGGTGTCAGATGTTTGAACTGGGTACAGAGCCGTGTTGGCCCCGTCGATGTTCCCGTACCGTAATAACAGAAACAGCGGTCAGAAAGCAGGGACCGAGTTCTTTACTCTGGAGTCGGTTGGTAGAAAGTGAAGCATGGCAGAAGAGAAGGGTGCCTTGGCCACCTGAGTCTGTGGGTTGACCAGAGCACAGAGCAGTGTGAGGGTTTCTAACACGAAGGCCGTGTGAAAGAAAAGGGGTTAGAACAGTGGTTCTCAACCTGTGGGTCACAACCCCTTGGGGGTTAGCATGTCAGATATCCTGCATATCAGTCAGATGTTTACATTACAATTCATAACCATAGCAGAATTACAGTTACGAAGTAGCAACAAAATAATTTTAGGTTGGGGGTCATCACAACATGAGGAACTGTATTAAAGGGCCACAGCATTAGGAAGGTTGAGAATCACGAGTTTCGAGAAATAAACAAACAAAACAAGACAAAACCAACATTAGACACAGAGAAGGGCAGATACAGGTAAGGAAGGCTGCGTGAGAGATTGCGTCTAACTGTTTTGTGCAGCCGCTCATTGATGCAGATGGCACTCTGCAAGCTTCCAGGATGTTAGAACAGGAGGAATTGAGGTTTAACAGTTCCAAGCATAAACTCGTGTTCTGAAAATTTTTCTAGAAGCATCTGGTTATACTATGAGCAGGACATTTTGGTTTTCTATCCTAAAACACTTGTTCAGTTTGCTAGTGAAGATAAAAATGGTACTAAGGCAAAATATTTTTTCTATAAATTAATTCAGAGAATTATGGCTTTTTACAGGTTGTAAGTGGGATGGTTTTCCTCAACCACAAATCAAGTTTTAGTTTCGTTTTCTAAAACATGTCTTGCTAAACTAGGGAGCAGATCTTTGGAATAGAATACTAACTCAATGGTGAAGTCTCTTCATGAAACAACTTTTTCTTCATTAACCTTCCTTTTCATGAGGCACAGGGTTTTTTGTATGTGAACAAAGAACAAAATTATAAATGTTATCATAAAAATTAAACGTAATCACCTCAACTAATAAGTTATATTTAATTACTAAAAATACCTTATATTTAACAGCCAGGCAGGAAGCAAAATAGTACAGTCTCCACACACACCAACATGGCGGCACCCGCTTGGTGGTAATTCCAGAGATGTGAGTGTTTTCATCATATAGTAAATAGTATCCAGCCATTAAAGACTAAGCCATCGAGACAGGTAAATGTGTTGTTTTCAAATAAAAATGTAAAGCACCTAAGAGGAAAGCAATGCACTGTCCTTCTCCAGATCTTAACCTGTAACCAGCACTTAGAATCCCTGAATGCTCGCTGCTGTGTGAGAGGACACAGTCTTGTCATCGTGACAGCCGCACTGCACATTCCTACCATCTATGAACCGCGCTTAGAGGGCTGTGGTTCAAGGTCATCTTCTCTAAGTGTTCTGTTTTCCAGTTATCGACTGATGAACCCTCACGTAACGTTCTTCCTTGTGGCAGAGTCTGCATGCTGTCCCTCTGATTCTCGGCCTCAGCGTCACCTTCCCACAGATGTTTCTCTGGACCACGGTGCCTTTGGGTTTCCTCGGGTTGGTTATTGGTGCAGGCTTAAGTGATGTGCTTCAGTCTGGCACACAGAGGTCCTCCCCACCCCCAGGAGCACCTCCTGACGGGGAGAGGGCTGCTGTGCATTGGTGTCTCTCAGTGTTTTGGGTTAATCTTTGGACACAGTACGCTCTTCTGGTAGTAGAGGAGGCATTTAGAAATCTGCTGGCCGAATCATCATGGTTGTGGCCTTGAGCGAGTAGCCGGACCCCTTCCAGTAGTACCACTTAATACCGTTGAACTTATTTGTATTCTGCTTTTGTGGGTAGTACTGTCCATTCAAATTGGAAGGACCACATGCATCAAACCACCAGCCTGTGAAAGTGAGACAGAGGGATTAGGAGTGGGTGGTGGCACCTGTGTCAGCACAGGGAGGGGGCTCAGGTGTGCTCCTCAGTCCCCAGCTTCAGAGAAGGTGCACACACACCCTCATGGTGTGGGAGAAGCCACATTGATTTGTTATGCCCCAGACACACAGTTCACTCCTGTCCGGTCACAGTTCCATTGCGGCATGTGTCCTTACACACTTTCTAGCTCCTTTTGCACAGAATCCTCGCAACATGGAGAACTGTTGGTCAGTGTGAAAAGCTGTCATCCGTGGCTACATTGTGGGGTGAAGACGTGGTGACACTAGAGGTATATGTGTGTAGCAGTCTTAACAGCAGGGTGGGCCAAACGATTCCCACTCCCCTCCATCTAACTGTTTGGGTTGGAGTAGACGCCAAGTGCCTCGTGCTCCGTGGAGTTAGAGGAAGAGAAACTTAGAGGCTATAAGGTGGAGGTGCTGAGGGAGAGCCAGGCAATAACAAGGACCTCCCTCATGGTAGCTCTGGATCCCACAAATAGGAGCATGGCGGGTGGTAGGATTTGCCATATGAAGCAGTAACATGGGTGATGTACTAATCTGAATTCACCTCTAAGCCTCATGTGTGAAAGACACCGATTATATGAGATTATCTGATAGTATTCTTGTTTGTTTTTAAATACAGAAAACAATAACAAGAGTTGATAGTAAAGAATGTGGATGAGATGCCAATTCAGAGGCTACCTCAGGGCAAGTAGGACACAGTAGGGCAGCTTCTCTTAAAAAAAAATTTTTTTTTCCCATGGAGTGCATCTGTCTCCCTGGACACCGCTGGCTAGAGACCCTCCTAGCTGGTGACTCTGATAAATGGAGGTGTATGAGAAGATCCTGTGTTGTGCAAAACCCTTGGAACGGGGAGAAAGGTCAGCTCGGATCTGTCTTAACTTCAGGCACCATCCATGCCACTGCTCCCCAAGACACCTTGCTCCTCCATAGGCCAGCTTCCCCATGGGCCTGCCCATGGCTTGGAACGTGGCCTCTTTCAGCCCAGACCTCCCTCCCCATTGTCCTTCCCTGGCTGCTTGCCTCCTCCCCAGTCTCTCCAACTCCATTCTCAGCCCCTAAATCTTGAACTAGGTAAATAAATAGACTGTGTCCTTGGTTATGAAGCAGCTCTCCAGCTCTCTGGAGTAGCAGCCCACGGGTGGTCTGAAAACAGCCAGCCTCTCCAGAGAGGTCTCAGTGTGGGAATGGCAGGCAGGACTCGGGATTAGGTGTGTTGCAGCCCCAAAACTCACCCCCATTGTCAGTTGATTTTAAAGAGGGTTGTTACAGTGACATGAGAGAGTCTAGCCTCCTTTACAAAATCGGTTCAATAGCTTTCTTTCCTTTGAATAATTACAAGTAATGGAGACAACTCATGCCAAGTGGCCCCCTCTGTCCTCCCTACAATTCCAGGATCTACTATTCCTAATTGTTCCATGAAATTTCAAGTTCTGAGTTTCTTTCCAGTTTTGGAGTACATGTGGTTCAAGCTTCGATCTTTTACTCATCTTAGCAACTTGTATTTTTATTTTTTAAATAAATTGTATGTGTTTATCGCGGGAGCGTGCTGCAGCACATGTGTGGAGCAGAGAACAGCTTGGCGAATCAGTTCTCTCCTTCCACCCTGAGGGACCCCGGGATCAAACTCGGGTTGTCGGACTTGACAACCGGCAGCACCTTTACCCGCCGAGCCGTCTCCCAGGCCTGAGCTAGCTTTTCTTACCAAACCCGGAACTCATGGGTTCAGCTAGACCGACAGACAAGCAAGCCCCAGCCCTGGGATTGCAGGAGCACACCACTTACTCAGCTTTGTACAGGGATCCTGAGACCTGAGCGCCAGTCTTCATGTTTATGTATCAGGTACCTTACCCACTGGGCTGTCTCCCCGCCCACTTTGTGTTTTAATCATTTGCTGTGCAT